GAAATCAAACCCACGAAATATGTATGCACTAGAAGTTCAAAGAGGTAAGCTTTTGATGATAGGAATTCAAAAAATAGTAATAATAATAACTTCGTCAGCTCAACCAAAATATTGAATCTTTCAAATTTTACCAGAGGAAAACACTATTATGGTTTGTGCTGCATTTTCACCGTCATGTTTGAGCAATGTTGAAAGCATTTTAAAAATTAAAAATTAGCTTAAAACAAAAAAGATCCAGGACAAAATTAAAATGTTATTTATTTCTAGATATTGAAATGTCAAACTTCATTCAATTTATCTATTCTACCTTTTTTCAGACCAAAAGGACTCAAACGCTTAGCTCAATTGGTGAAAAGAAAGAATCAGCCTAATCAAAACAGAACCTATTTCCTCAGGGGAAAAAGAGAGCAAAATCCTATATAGTAAATACTCAATTAAAAAACCGCTTGATTCTATCCGGACAAAACCTGAACAATCCCTTGCCATATCAAAACGAGAAAAAAAAAAATTCTACTTGATTACTCAATGAGTCCACCATTTCTCAGCAAACGAACAAAACTTAAATGGGAAGGACATGAAGAATCAATACAAAAACCAAAAACGAGATTCCGAACACATTCCATCGGAGACGTACTCGAATCATCCTTATCAAGAACTTCAAATTTATTCCTGAAATACTTGCGAATGATCTCTCCGGCGGCGTCAGCGACCTTGTTAGCAACGTCAACAAATCGATTAAGTTCGTTCTCAGAAGCCGCCGTAGCGCGGGTGTAGACTCCATTAGAGAGCAAAGAATCGGAGGCCATGACCCTAATCGAGAGAGAAGAATGTGAGACACTGACAATATTGGAGGGAAAACGATGATGCTTATGTAGTAGCTGGCTAGCTGCCCTGAACTCTGAACTTCTGTCACTGTAAACAGCCCACTCGGCTCGCAACGTTGGATTCAATATTGCTAATTGCTATTTTAAAATTTGATTATTATTTTTCATTAAATGAATGCATCTTGATCTTATTTCCGAGCCGCATGCAAAACCTTATCTTATTTTCACGAAGTATCCAGTATCTTGATATTATTTGTTTATATTGAGCATCTTAATTTTTAAAGTAATAAAACATTAAAGTGTTTGAATAGAAACCAAATCATGGTTTTAAAAATACTTTTAATAATTTATAAAATAAATATATAGAGGGGTTTGTCTCGTTTTGCCAAAAATACTTTTTAGAAGCACTTTTGAGAGTTCTTAAGATATTGGATGCATAAAAAAAAATATCAGAATAATGGATGCATCAACGAGACGAAAGTGATGCACCTCTATCTTATTAATTGAGTAATTTGAATTATTAGCATCATATATCATACAGCGCAGCTTTATTATTAGTAAAATAAAAACAGAGAATCATGTCCCAAAAAAATTAAAATAGAGATGGAAGCTGTTTTTTTTTTTTTAGAACCTCAAATTTGCATAAATAAAGGAAACAAGAACCATGTGAGATGATAACCAAAGAACTTGGCGTGAGCTTTGGTTCTATTCTCGTGAAATATTAAACTTTAATTCAACCTCCGCTGCTTCCTATCTTCCAAACCTAGCTTCTTTTTTTTTTTTTTTTACACTAAAGAATATGTTATTGACTCTTCTTATAAATTTGTGACATGTTAGGTAATAAGTACTATTCCGGTCCTTAATATAAGACCCATTTAACTAATTTGATTAGATAAAAAAGTTAGGTAACTTAGTTAATGATAAGAAATGTGACACGTTTTTCCTAAAATACCATAATCATCTTTCTTAATATCCCATCTTCCTCTTCTACTTGATTGTGGTTGATGGAGTATCCATAGGGGTAATTTAGGAAAAATTAATAAATATGAAGAATAGATATTATATTTAGGATCAAAATCAAGTCAACAACTGAGTCCTATATTAAAAACAAAAGAGCAATTTAACAAAATATATTAAAAAAAATTAAAGACCTAGACATTATGACCCGTGAACAGCAGAACTTGTAAAATCAAAAAGCAGCATTATAGAATGGTGGAATACGGTGTAAGCATCATTCGCTAATGCCTCTCAATTTTCTCACCAAGCCACTAAATTTACCATTTGTTTGGTTAACTAATCGAATACAGAGTCTTCTACTAATGAAGATACTAATTTATATGCCGTGGCCACTTGGTGGTATGATCACTGGCTAATTAACTAATCGTTTATATTAATAAATAAGTGTTCAAGAAAATTAGTTAAAGAGGAGGGAAGGTTTATTGCCGTTGAAGCGTCATTGGTTTTAGATTCTGTAAGGGCAATGTTATGAAAATATAGTAGAAAATGATTTTAATTTTAGATAATATACAAAATTCTCCCTAAAAATTAGTTTTGGACACTAGTAGATTCTTGTTTATGATATGCATAGTATATCTTAAATGATTCATTTTTTTTATCACATCAAACTATCAAACTAAAGCCCACTAAATCTTTAGATGGGGTTTGTTGTGCACTTGCCAAAATTAACTTGACAGACCAACAAGTATTGGTCCAAGTAGAAAAGATTTGGATATCTTAAATATTATATCCTGGGTGTGATCTTTAAGGTAGTGTGTATGGAAAAAATACTGTTCTGAGGGATTCCCACTACGATACCTGACAGTATCCAAAAGATTAGTTTCTTACCGTTTAATTGAGAAGATACTCAAGGCAATTAAAAAAAAAATCAACTTGACACCTAAAACACACACACACAGGAGTGGCCACTTATAGCGGAAAGAATGACAACACACGAAAATTCTTACCTGATGTTGCGGACAAACCGAAGGACGTAAGAGAAGAGATATAATGAATAAATAAAAAGATACTATTTCCGTTTCTTAATATAAAATTTCGTTTGATTTATATTTAGGACCTGTTAGTATCTCTAAACCGTGATTTCAGAAGCACTTTTCCACAAAACGAGATAATCTCCTCCACATATTTACTTCGTAATCCGTAAAAGCACTTTTGAAACCATGGTTTGGTTTCTATCCAAACACACCCTAAGTTATAAATATAAAATCTCAATCTGATTTGTTTTTTATATTTATGTATTTTTTCATAAGGTAGTCTTTCTAATAATAATAGTTTTAACCAACACACTTGATTAACAATAGTATTTTAGGAAAGACAACACATATTTATTATAAATAACTAACTTAACTTATTTTTTTAATCTTTTTAAATTAATCAAATAGTTTTTATAATTAGAACTTACCTTTTATTTAAAAAAGAAAAAGGCACACTGGGGATGGTGGAGTGCGCAGACGGACGTATGCGATGTTGGAGGTTGAGTCATCGTGCACAAATGGGTCGGGGTTCGTTGAATGTGGCTGCCTTTTCCCAATTTACAACAACTGGGGGCTTCCTCCTCATGTTTCATAATCGAACAATAGACCCACATCACATCACGTTACATCAAAGCCCCCCTAAGCATCATCCTTTTTTCCGTCCTTGTTGCGGCAATTTTTGTCTACAAGAATTATGTAATTGAAAATCATTAATAATAATAATTAGAAGTCTAATGACATTACTAAACTAATGCCTTCAATTAACTCTGTTGATGTACAAGAGAACCTAATTACCAACATAGAATCTGCTATGTTAAAAAAAAACCAAAAAAGAGTTAATACGATTTTTAATTTCTAAAATTTAATCTCATTTTGATTCTAATTCATAAAATTTGATTTCATTTAGTCTGTCTAAAATTTTTACTTTCAAATTTCAAGGATCAAAAACCAAAATGAAATCAAATTTTAAAAACTAAAAATTCTATTAACCCAAAAAAATAAGTGAACAAAAACATTGTACTAACAAAAACAATCAAATTTATGGATAAAATTGGAGTGCAAATTCGTAAAATTAAAAAAAAAATCACACTCAAAACTTTTAACTAGTGAAATCCGCTACATATTAGTACCTCGAGTTCAACTGGAGCTAATATTGAATACTGATGATGATCATGATAGTTGGCCCGTGACAAGCTTAAGGACTGACAGACTGATCTTAAAAAGACCGACTTTTGACAGGTTGATATTTTTCCAACCCACCACTTTTTTTTTAATTTTTTTGTGCCTTTTATTTCTTTTTAATAAAATTTATTATAATTCTTAAACACCTAAAATGAAATATGCATATAGAAATTATCATAAATAAAATATAAAATCCAAAATTCCAAACATTCCAAAATACTACTATAAACATACATAATACATCATCCTAAATGATTAAACATACATCCCAAATTAAAACATAACAAATCTAAATTAATAATAATACAAACACAATGTTACAAATCACTATCAAGTGTTCAACCATGAGCTACCATTCAATGTTGATATAATTCAAAGAGTGATATAAAGATATGAAATTATTTGGTTAAGCTTCATAAGTTGAATCATCTTCTTTTTGCTCAACTAACTTTGTCATAAGTAAAATTCATAATACAAAATAAAAGATATATTACATTATGGTAATTTTAAATAATAAGAATGAAATAAAAGACTAAAGAAATAAACATAATTATATTTGAAGTTTAAAAAAAAAAAAAACAGGCCAGCTCACCAACCCTGCGGGTTAGTCCATCACGGATTTAGTCTTGACAGTTATGGTCTCAAAAAATCCGTTTTAAAACGAGCCTAATTTTTATCAACCCAACCCACTACTTGACAGGTTGGTAGGTTGAGCTTGCGGACGCAACCTATATTATCGACCGTACCACATATTATGGTATTCCATCATACTGATGATATTGATAACTTACCCTGTAACTCCGTTCCATATCTAATACCAGTAAAATGCATTTGAACACGCGTATTAAAAAATGGCATAATTCAGGGGACCTACCAAAGAATTCAACAGTAGGCCCAATTATATTGCCAGCGAGATGATTCAACATGCAGTCAACAAGCAATTTAATTAAGTGGGTGATGCATACATGAAAAATGGGGGAAAAAAGCGTCAAATTCAGTCTGCTACAGGCAAAGCGTTAATGAAAACTGTTCATTACAAGCGAGCAACTTGTCAATACAAATAATTGCTATTTTGCCTAAAAATCATCGCCTCACACCAGAAGCTCGCCAAGGGCAAACGGCAAGCATCATCTATATATCATCAGCGCATTCCCAATTTAATTTGGGTGTGAATACTAAATATCCATTCAATAAACTAGGCCATCTGTACAAAATAAGAACCCTGGTCTCAAAACACCATAACCTTCTATATTAAACCAATCCTGCACCTTTTCAACTTTTAGAAGGTAACTTCAGCCTCTGATCCTGTTGTAATCACAGATTGGAGCTCAAAATCAAAACTTAATAACATCCAGCCCTCCTCATAATCTTTTGTCTGGGGTTGGGGAGAAGATCAACACCGTAGCCTGCTTTAACAAGAGAAAGAAGAATAGGCATACATTAACGCGGGGGAAAAAACTGCACAGTGCTTAGAATGTACAGATTGGGAATACTAAAGGTTAAATTTTAATTTCTGTTCCACATAAAACCAACCCCAGATAAAAATAATCTGCGTGTGCAATAGTTGCTTAACTACACAAGGAAATAAAAAGCACACCTTTAATAGTATGATGCTAATGTATGGCAGAAGGCAACGCTACGCATGCAATTTTGATTAGCTGAGGCAAGCAACAAAACGAAGACAAATCAACTTACCTCCTGAAGAGCCAAGAGGCATCGTTTTACTTGCTAGATTTAGACCAAAAGAAGCCCTTTTTTCTTGTAAGGGGATTATCTGACGAGTCTTTGCGACTCTTTGAACCAAATGAAAAATGCCTCAGAAAGGGTTTCCCAGAGGAGTTTCTTCCACTGGAATTCAAGCGCATCCGAGAAACTTTATGTTGGTTCCCACCACCCTTGAAGTGATCAAACACGATTGAATCATCATCAGTGCCACTATCCACAACTCGATTCATGGACCTCTTGTTTCTAGCCTTAAACTCCATTCTAGCTTTCAGAGCTTTTTCAGACAACTTAAAAGTTTGTTTCTCACCCCAGGTGCAGACTGGGCAAGTTGGATCGTACTTGTTTATTTCAGGCGTCAAGCTCTCCAAGCATTCAGCATGATAAACATGTCCACAGACAAGAACAGCAACTACGGAAAGTTCATTACTTGCAATTATCTTTTGGGCGCTCCAGGAAGACCTCTCAGTTAAAAGCTTTGAGCAAACACAACATGTATGCACATCAGTGAGCGAAGCTGAAATCTGGCTACTGGTTCTAGCAAACTTTTCATCATCAAATCCAAAGGACTCACTGTCAAATGACCATCTTCCTCCATGGGAAGTACCCATTGGCTCAGAAAAGCCAGGTATAGACCAGCCATCAGAAGAACCACCTTGGGAGCACCTACGTGATTCATTGCTCCAAGAAGGAAACGCAGACCTTTCTTCTGAAGCAGGTAAGCTGCTTGGAGACTTGAATCCTGGGATTTGACCAGGAGAAACTTGCCGTAGTATTTGGTTTCCAGGAGAATGGCAGCGTTGCCTTAATAGTGCTGGACTTGCTGGAGATAGGTGACTTTGGAATGAAAGAGGAGACGCAAGAAAGGAGGTTGAAGGCATTGAAAATTGTGGTTTAGAGGGGGATGTGCTCGATCCCATAGGTGATTCTACTGACCCTTTCACCTACGATGTAAATCATATATAGGAATATTGTCAAAGAGATCACGGACACTCAGCCGCATAAAAATGTAAAACAATAGAAAGTCAATTCGTTATCATAGCCTCACCTGCTCCATACTCCCATCCATGGAGACACTCCTTGAATTAGGTTGATCTGCCACACCCATAATTAACCATGTCAGAGAACTATAAATAACCATGTCAGAGATGAATCAACCGGTAAAGTGTATTAAAAATGCAAGCCAACAGTTAAAACAAAAACAGACGATGTATGTCTCAGATCAAGATTGACATCTAGCAAAGCCCTATAGCAGAAAAGATTTCACAGCATAAAAAACCCCTGTGGGCAGCCTAATTCTTTGAGACATTTAGGAATATGATTTACAAGGCCTGTTTTCTTTTCTTTCCTTTTCTTTTCCCTTTTTTTTTTTTAAGTGACCTCATCCGGCATCCTAGGTAGACCATCTTTCAAGTACATCAATGGCCTAGACTAATCCCGATTTGCTAATTTGTAGGCATCTCAAAAGGTGGGATAGCTGGCTAGGAGATTTGACATTTTTCATACCCAAACAAGAATCAAACCCCCAACCTTAGTTAAGGGAGGATAAGCCCCTACCACTCAACCACATGCCCCTAGTTTTCTTTCCTTTTTTTTAAATACAAATTATGAGGATCGTTTTTGAGAGGATCCCATTCCTTCCCAGAAACACTCCACATCAACAAAAGATAGCAACTTCCAGAATTTTTACACATTTTTCTAATTTTCACTATTTTTTAATTCTTCTTTCCTCTCAACTAGATTTCCATCAATAACTAATTTCTACTTTTATCTATAATAATTTTCTTTCCCAAGGTTCAAAACATTGATTTTTTAATTACATTTTTAATTTACTTGATTCCATACAAAGGCTAGGTCTTCGCTTGCTCTTTCATGTCTCATTTAACCATATTTTATCAATACTTTATTTCACACACTTGATCCTTGTTTTTATACCATTGGGTTATCATGTAAAAAGACAGTAAAGTAAAATTAGATGTAATATCTTAGAAGTGTAAACAGGGTGTAAAAAGGGGTGCAATTAGTCTTCTAAATACTTTTATTCCTATTATCTGCTCCTTACATTTGACACACCTTTGGTAAGTATATACATGACGATGGAGGACTAGTACACACAATGACAAGACCGAAACTTACTAGCAACAGGAAAATTGAAGCCGCAGATGATAGTATATACTCAACCATTCTTGCAAAAGCAACTACCACAAAAACGAATACCTCCTTTCTAAGTTATCGATAGCAGTCAATGAAAGGATAATTTAAAAACAGAGGCACACTTAGAATTGACTCTTTGCCTAACACTCCTTCGATTTTTCAACACAAGAATAAATTAAAAACAGAGTCAAACTTATTAATTATTCTTATTCACTTGGTTGACATTCATCAAAACATCATGCAATATTTACTAAGTCTTGTTCATATAATATATGGTATCTTGCCGTGCTAAAGTACAAGAGTCAATATATCTATCTACAAAATAAAATCTATAGAAAACTGCATTATTCATAAGTCATGAATAGTACAGCTCACCTCAGATTCTAAGCAAAACATAGACCGACAATCTAGTTAACCTCAAATATCTTTAGTCAACTTCTTTCCGTACAACGGAAAAGGGATTATCCCATAGAAAACCATGCCAGTGTTCCAAAATATGGCAGCCTGATCACATTACTACCAAAAAAGTTGTCCGATTTACTGAGTATTTGTTTTCTCCCATCAACTAACTCGTGTTATGAGCAAATCCTGTCTGAGAAAATATGCCTAACAGTCCATTTACGTTATAAATTATGGTCCTATTGCATTTTAAAGGTATCAATTGATTCTTCATTAGCTGCTAGCCCAATCTTAAGATACTCAAAAAAGAAACAATTTACCGCTATTTTACTTTGTAATTCCAGTTACATTTTGCATTATAAGAACTTTGTGACTATACAGCACCATATTTTAACCACCCTAGTTGCAAACATCAATTTTTTTCCCGTCAGTTCATTAGCACAAGCGTTGAAATATGTAAGAAAATACCACAATGCGTCCAAACCTGAATGTTACGCAAGCACATCACACTTATTTCATATTTCCTGCCCAAATTTGCAATTACAATCACCATTCCATCCAATAGGTTGGCATTTGATCTCATATTAAAGATAAATAGTTCAAAAATAAAGTGACAGATGCAAAATCCAATTATCAGTATCCACTCCAAGCAGGTGATAGCTTATCTTAAATTAAAAGAAGAATCCACAAAAGTTACCCGAAGTGAAAGTCCTTGCATGTTCAGCAGTTCCTTCTGAAATTGGTGATTTTTGCCCTCTATGACCTTCACAAGTCTGCAATGACAATCCATCATCTGACTTATATGCTGAGTCATTTTTGTCTTCTGATCCATCATTCTGGCTAACACCATCAGAAAGCCAATTTATAGAGGCATCTTCACCAGCCACACGTCTTCGATGGTCCCAACGAAAACTCCATGTTGGAGAGTAGCGATTGTTTCGATGTAAAATTTCATTAGCTGATCCACTTTGTCTGGTTTTATCTGTATCTTTGGAAGCAACACAACAAACAGCACCCATGCTCAAATATGCAACAATGTTAACCCTATTATATCAACACCACCAGTTGCATCACCAGATACAAATCTGCACCATTAACTTGTCAATACAGGTTTCCCTGGAATGGTAATGACGTAAACATAAAATCAGTTGTAGATAATCGATAATATAACAGGAGCTGCAGTAACTGAAAGTCTGAAACACATTATTATTTTAATTCAAATTTTGACAAAGAAAAAACAACCGACCAAAAAATTCATCGTTCTACAGCTAGCAGTTTTTGTGGATTTGGATGTAATTCCCCCAGAACCTTACAGAAAGTGGAGACCAAAAAGGTTCAGAACCCAGAGAGTATATGTGGCCGATAGTGTGGGGGTAGTCACCAACACACGAGTTTCAAGTATCTTCCATTCCAAAAGGATTTTTTTTTTTTGGGCCAAAGTTCCAAAAGGATGCTTCTAAACACACATCCCAAAAGAATATTAGCAAGCGAAAACAACTGCAAAAGCAATGTAACTCGACAGATTCATCTCCAGTGAACACAGAGTTCAACGAAGAAGATTATGTTGAATTGGATCACAACTCTACTATATAAACGCAAATCAACGTGGGGGAGCCTCATTGGAAAGCAAACATCATCCGCAAAAACCACAAATTTCAAGGAAAATTCAGAAAGGGACAGGCAACCTAATGAGTTACTCAAAGGGAACTAAGAGTGAGTAGTAATCAACCGGGGTAAAACACAACTAGCCCGAAATTTGAAGCTATTCAAAACCCCGATCCCAAATACATGCAGAAAACACGGAATTTACAGTAGAAACCACCAGAAAAAGAAAACGCTAAAAAGAAATAAAAAAATTTCTGTGCAAGAAAAGAAATTAAGGGGACCTTTCTTTCAGGAATTTGGTAATCGATATATACTTGAGTTTCCCCCGCAGATGATAGTAATACGAGTCTCTGAATACGAATACAGAAGAGCAAAGCTGACGTGACGAAGCCGCACCTTTCCTGAAAGCAAAGGAGAGAAAGCTTCTAGAGAGAGAAGGTGAGGAACAAAGGAGACTGTGCCCTTTGTTGCAGAGAGGGGAAGACGAGGAAGACGGGGATCGAAGGAAGGGAGAGGCTGTTTTGGATGGTCTTAACGCCGTTAGGAATTTGTTGGCGTGCTTGTTATTTTCGGTTCGGTTCGGCGTTGCCATTGAACATGACGAGCCTTCATTCGGTCAGGTACTTTTTTTTTATTATCCTTAATATAAAACTTATTTAACTACTTTAATTAGATTAAGGTAATTAAGTAAGTTAGTTAATTATAAAAAATATGTCATGTTTTCTTTAAAATATAATAACCATCTTTCTTAATATCCTTCCTCCTTCTTTTACTTGATTATAGTTGAGGGAGTATCCATAGGGGTAATTTAGAAAAAATTGATAAATATGATAAATAGGTCTTATATTTATTATCAAAATTAACTTAACAATTAAGTCTTATATTAAGAACAAGAGGAGTATTAAACTTTTTTGCCAGATTTATTATTAAACTATTTACACATATTTTTAAAAGTGGATTTGACATGTATACATTTGGCCAAAAATATCTATAAAACTTTAATTCATTTTATCTTTTAAATTTATAATTTTTTAAATGAAGACATTAATGAGTTTTTACTTTTATAAATTAATTATCTGACTAGGTATTATATATTTTAATACAAATATAATAGATATAAAATATTTTATATTGCATGATTAACTTTTGTACATGATATATGTTGCTGAATATAATATAATAATAATAGAAATACAAATCATCTATATATTTATAGACAACATGATATTTATTATACTCACTCCTGATTTCATGAGCAAACTTGGTGTGTGTATATTATTTCCGGTCTTACTTATAAGATCTCGTTTACGAACTCGAGATCTTATAATTAGAATTAAAGATACTAATATATAAATACTCAAATTAAAGGAAAAGGGAAGATGGAGAGATCAAAAGGGGGAAAGGAAAAGAAAAGGACGATGGAGTAATATTGTTTTCTTTCTCCTTTTTTTTTTTAAATAAAAGCAATCGCAATATTAAATGCTCTACTTTTCATTCACATGGCTGGGTGTATCTTTTTCATGAATTCTCATGCATTATGAAATTGAAGCAAGATGCCAAGATATAATTAAATCTTAGTCCTCTTGTTTGATTGGTAAACAACTCGGCTAAAAGATTTTTGAACGCTTAAGGTGCGTGTATACATGTATGTGTGGGGTCATAACTAATTTAACATTATTCACTTTGTGAAATATTGAAAAAAAAAAAAGGGTTTTAATAATTATTAATTCAAGTATGCTTTTCCTGCGGTGTTTGGAAATCATAAAAAAAACATTTAAAAAAAGTACTCTCATATAAGTAAAAACAAAATTCTTTTTACATATTTATTTCAAACTCTATAAAATCACTTTTAAAAAGCTAACCCAATGTCCCCTTAATCTTCTTGTTGGAAAAAGTAAAAATTAATGCTTTTGTGTCTGTAGTTTTAAATTGGTGCGATTTAATCTTTATAATTCTATTACAGACATACAGTTGTAACTAAGTCTTTGCATTAGACTTAATGGAACTCAATCTCATGATCTAAGCATTTAACATATTAGCTTTTATATTTTGAAAAAAATAAAATCACATATTTTATGGAGTTGGGAGACTAAAATTTTAGATTATTAAAATTATAGGAATTTTGAATTGCACTAAAAGTGAAATTCAAGACCAAAATTACAATCAAATCGAAAGAAAAAAAATGAAATTTTTTATTAAAAAAAAACTTTGGTCAAATGACTCTTAGCTCATCAAGAGTCAGAGAGTCGTATGGTTTAGCTAACGTATAATAAATTTATTCCAGACTTCAAGTGCTTCACAAGACCCACATTTTATTTATTAAAGACCCAAAAAGTCAAAAATAAAATCAACTTGGCCCAGAAAATGAGCATTTGACGACGAAGACGTTTCCAATCCCATAATAATAGTTAGGTACTGACCTGAGTGGCTTAGACGCCGCCCCTTGACGAGTCAAAACGCAACTTATTTATTTTTCAGCAAACACACATTACACAATTGATAGGGGAAAATGGCAAAAACACATCCTTTATCCCAAGATAAAATTAATTTTTCAGTAAACGTACATATTTTAATGAATTTATTTTTTTTAGAATTTTATTTTGGTTATTTTTTGAACTTTAATTTCTGTTTTAGTTTGATACTGTATCTTAATTGGCTGAGTGGGGTTTATATATAATTTGTGAATAAAAATAAATATAAATTAAAAATGAAATAGGTTTGGCACCGAAACAGACAAACAGTCAACTAATCCGCAGTTTGGCAAACGAATAAGGCCATTTGTTAAAGCTTAAAGAGTTTATAAAAGAAAATACTTAGTTTTCCAATCATACATAATCATATATCTTATTTTATTTTTATTTATATAAGTTTATAATAAAATAATAATATTTTAAAAATAAAGAATTACAAAACTTAATATAATAGATATAAAAAACGTATAATCTGTTTATAAATGATAGGTTTATTATATTTTTAATAATAATAATAATCAAATTCTTTCTTGATTTATTGATTTTTTGCGGCCTCCATATATTGGTTCACTGTAATTTTCGAAGTTCAGAATTTTCTCATCAGCATGCTCTAACTCTTCATTTCGAAAAATGGCAACAACAAAAAAACAGAATCCTAAAAAAATATCTTTGAATTTCAAAATTTCAAATAAGTCTTGTTAATTACACTTTAATAATAATTAACAATATTAAAAAAATAATAACACATTTTCTTAGTTATTCTTGATTTTGGATTTTGAAATTTCAAAGATTTTTTTTTATCTTTCCCCAAAAAAAAAGATTTTATCACAAGATTTGATAACTTCATTTCCAAATGTCATCCTATGTTGAGAATAATTTCTTTATTTGTTGATTATGCAATATAGATATAATAATAGATTTCATTTGACATGCAAAATTTATCACTATCTATTTCTATAATAATTACACATGCTATTAACTATTGAGTTGGGAAGATCATAATTAGAACTTTAAAAAATCCAAATTTATAATTTTGGAATCAAATTTTGATCAGAACATTAAAGTGGCGCGAACACAACTTTCTATACTGGCCTACATTTAAAGTCAAAAGATACACTGTGATATAATCACAAAGTAAAGTCTAATAAAAAATGTTAGTATTTTTTTTTTACCAGAACAAATGTTAGTCTTTTTTTTTTACCAGAAAAAAATGTTAGTCTTTTACAATCTCATTAAAAGAGACGTCTATATTTAATGTCCATCAATATTTTGAATATACTTGACAAAAGAAAAACACTGATGCAAGTCCAAACCAATGAGATATAGGGCCTACTATTTTTGCCAATGGCAACATATCCTTGGGGTTTTTACCTAATTGATAATTACCGTAAAATACAAAGCCCGTTTTCTCTTTTCTTTTTAAGCAGAACGTGAATGGTGAACTTCTCCACGCACCATCACCTAGTGACCTCATCTTTTAGCACATGGTTGAAACTGTCATTTTCTTTCTTCATTAATTTTCTATCCCGGTGTGAATAAACTAATTAATTTTATACCATTAATATATATTAAATATACAAAATAGAGAACTACAAGGATGGATCCAGCTAGGGCTCCTGAAAACACAGAAGACCCGTTTTAATTATATATGTGTGCATATATAATTTGAAGTATAGCATATAAGCTGTTGCGTAGAATATACTCTGGCGAAAGTGCCTTCTTAATCAATGATACACCTTTACATTTCTATTTTGTGTGCATGTACTTATTATATCATATACATTCATTGTATTTTTATGCGTACCATATGATTTTATCGGATATTGAAGTTTTAATTGTTTTTTAGGACCAGGGAATGAGTAATATACTACCTCCAGTCTTAATTATAAGAGCTAGTTGACTAATTTAAGGAGATTAAGGAAATAAGTTAAGTTAGTTATTTATAATAAATATGTGTTGTCTTCCCTAAAATATCCTTACTAATCAAGTGTGTTGGCTAGAACTATTATTATTAGAAAGACTACCTGGGAAAAAA